CCAAGTGCCGTGTACGCCTTGTACTGATTTGATTTTACCGCGAAACTTTAATAATCCTGCGTTGCGCATTCCTTTCCAACAACTATCAAAAACAGATTTTTTCGTCTAATTTTAATCCTGGATCTGACATACTACATTCTAATGATATACTACGTTTGAATGCATACTTCTCGAATCGCCGTGTTAAATTAAAAGTGACAATCGAATGATCTCGAATGAATAAAGGAAATCGTCTCGGAGCGTGGTACAAATCTGTTACAGTTCATCGATTGGCCGTAAGAACGACTTTCGATTGAAGGCAGTTAGCTTCAATTGGGACTAAAATTATTGAAATAACCCATCATACGAATACTGCATTTTTTCCAAAATTGATTTACCCAAGTACATCTTTAGAAAAATTCTTTAAATTTATTTACACCTATCCTTGATATTGAAGAAAAACTTGATCTTTTTTTATATAGTCATACCATAAGTAAAGGATTATAAAACGTGTATTTCTGCAAAAATGATATATTTGTTAAATTTGTCTCCTTTATTTCTTTAAATCGGAAGATAAACAATTTAAAAGAAATATTTTACCAAAGAATACACTTCTCTGAAATATAAAATTTTCTTGTTTGGTGTGTTTATTATCCGAATTATCCGGATAGTTAAATAGCAACAAATTTTCATACAGATTGTGAATTTTTAACAGTTTTTTTGTTTAATTTCATTATCAATGTTACTAGTTCTTCTCATTAGATTCCAGTAATGAATCATCCGCCGGTCGCGAAGGCAAACAGAACAGTTTACCATCACGCAATAAATAACGGTGGCCAGTATAACCTGTGCTGGATAATTGAGAACAAAAGTAGGACGTCGACGTCACGCTCGGCGATCCTTGCTGCTACCATTCAACGATTTAATTATTCACGGGCGAGTTTATTTATTCAAATGAAATTCCTCCTAGATGTGTAACCGGTGCTCGGTGGAAAGCTGAATGAGATAAATTTTGTTGCAATAATGGTCCCTCTGCATCGTGCTGGCTGACCTACCTCAAATATTTTTTCTCTCCTACGAAATATTTTTCAACGTGAACGTACCACACCTTTACTCGTACAAAATTTAAACAAATATATTTCGCGTTACATTCGTGATTGATATTTATATTATTCTTCGTATCCCATCATAATTAACAGTCTTGAGTTGATGATTGAAGAACGTATTATACAAGTCCATGCAAAAAGTGGGTTTTATCTATGTTAAGACAGAATCCTGTTTGTTTATCTCTTTTATAAAATGTATTTGTTTAAATCTTGGAATCTCGAAACGTCATTGCTACATTTTGATAACTGTATTCGAAGATTTGAAAAAGTTGTAAAGCTTTGAACACGAAAGCAATTCGTGTAGGTCAAAGAAAGCAATTTAGAATTCTAAAACCCCTTTTTAGAAATTTTACATGCATGCAAGATTCAGTATTAATTACTATATAATCTCATTTATTTATGTTTTATTAAGGAGGATTACTCTAATTTCAAGACAAACTCGAACCGCTTTCTCCCGAAATCCGCCATTTTCTTACTCTTCAGTTACGATGTTAAATTTGAATATGTGATAATCTGTTAAAAAAAAAGAAAGTTTCTGAAAATAACTTGTTTCGTAGCTCAGCATACTAGAAGTATCTCGCTTTAATGGTAAACGATCAACATATAAAAATGGAAAGCCATGGACGCTATAATGAGAACAATCGAAAGTGCGGCTAAAGTTAGATCGATTGAAGCAACTGTTAGAGAGATCGGTGGATTACGACTATTTTTAGTAGAGAATAATTCATATTCACTGAGAAATTACCGTAATTACGAAACTTGGTGTTTGACTTCACGCCCTGTTTGAGCGCATTAAATCTAGCACACGGCCCTAGGAAAAGGCTGGAAGGAGAGAGTGCGGCTCACACTGCCAGCTTTTCACTTTTCCTCGATCGGCGAAGTGCGTTGACCTATTATTCTTTTAACTTCAATTAGACGAGCCTTAACTATGCTCGCGAACACTCCAACGCGACGATCGACCTCCTAAGTGAACTTACGATAGCCTTTTTTAACGCTTACATTATCCGTTGAATTGAAGCCGCGAGTGAAATCGTTGGAAACGATCGATTCGGAGAGGTTTGCTCGATTATTCACAGCGATATCAAGTTTTCACTCTTCTTTTGGAAAACGTAGTAATTTTTAAGAAATCCACAAACTCGGATGCTGTCGGTCGCTAGCGCCGAGCTTCCTGGATTTCGTTGTAATTTCGACGATTGCACGGTGGAACGTTGCACTGTATCACCGTTTACAATTGGAGTGAACCGTGAAAAGAGCGTAAAGTACACAAACTCCAGACTGTATGCCGATCGCGACCACCTTTCGAGGCGGCAGCTCGTGTGGCACTGCCGTAAGGTCGTCGAGCTTCGTTGCTTCTGGCGTATACTGTGTAAAAGTCGTATAGTTTCCAACGATAGAGTCCCCTTGAATAGTGTATTACGAATTGCAGGCTTTGATCCTTTCCTGGTACGACATAGCATTTCGTGAGTAACATAAAATCATAAAGGTTCGTTACTTTAGGCACGCACGATCGATAAAAGGGGGGTGAAACAGTACCCCTAAGTTGCATTAAACTGGCTTGTTAGAATACCTTTTTCCTGTGAAAGTAACCGAAAAATATGGGAGCTTAAACATGGAGAAAAATGATATAGCAGTAGGCAATGGAAACAATTCTAAACAAAAGTGTACAGGAGAAATTGTTTCAATATACAACGTTTTGGTTCTCTTCTTCTGAACACCCTTTAGGTATTAAAATATGATTAAATTGCAAAGTTTAACACTATTTTTGCCAAAAATGTCAAAGAACACCTTTTGACTTTTTTATTTAAAATTGTTTCCTTAGTTTAAGAATTTTTATTTTTATTTTTCTGTAATAATTATAAAATTAATTTAGTGGTAACTTCTTTCCACCACCTCCTCTTAGATCTGAAGTGTACATATGTTCTAGCTATTTGAACCAGGTGTCTTTCCAGGTGGCTTCTTTTTACATATTAAAGATTTTATAACACCCTCTAATGTTAAGTTATTTTACACAATATCAATATCATGAGGCAACCCATTTCAATTCAAATTCGAGAATCCCAATTTCAAGAGTAGAAACAGTAGAAAATTGTAGACTTAGTAGATCAATCACGCATGTACAAAAATTGGCATCGAATAAGAAAATACATTTTATTTACAACGATAGCAATTTTGATGATTTAGTAATATGATCTAAATCATAATATGTTTACGATGAGGGATTCTATATCTCTGTGTGAAGTTGATGAACAGTATAGTTTAATAGCTGTTACGCAGAAATTGCGAGATGTCACGTTAAATCCGGCATTTCGTCATCGTGATTTTTGTTCTATGACGTAAGCAACTGCGATGATGCTTCCTCAGTTGCAAACCAATTGTTATGCCGCGTGTGTTACAGAATTCTTCCACGGACTTCTAATGGGTTTAGATATGACCTTTCTTTTGCTGTGAAATATTGAGTTGTTATTATTGACGTGTTATTTGCTTAATTTAGACGACGGAACTTATTATTAACACAGTAATAAGTATTTAACAAAGTATTCAGAAAAATCATCGTCATTCGTTTAACTGCTTTTGTTGAAATTATTTTAATACAATTTTTACAGATACAGCGGCACTTACTAACGCTTACATCGACTCAATATTATACTTTGGAATTGTTCTATTAGCTACGGACGCTTATCACATGATAGAATACTGTGTTCTAAGTGATTACATTCTGCCTGAATCTAGTTGAGCTTGAATCTCCGATCGAAGTAGCCAATCGTCACGGTATTTAGTTTAGATGGCACTGACATAAGGTCGTTATGCTTCGTTGCTCTACACTTGTATATCTCATGTCATGAGCGGACACTTCGTTAAAACTGCATACATAACATTCCCTAAAATTGAAAATATTATTGTATAGCGATAATTCGTCGAAACGACCATGTACATATTTTTAATGCATACCATTTATTTATAAAGAATCCATAAAATCTTTAATCTATAAAAAGAAAATGTCGAAATCAGATCATGCGTTTCATTGTGGCAAAGGTTGGTATTTTAACGTAACAAAATGGCCAGTAAATATTTCTATTTAAACTAAAGTTATAAATAATCAAACGCAAAAACACAGAATTAATTTCTACACGTAATACATCTAAAATTAAAAAAAAGAATTAGATGTTAAATATGTTTTATTTTACGTGAAAAATTTGGTGGCAGTTAAACAACGTCGTTCCCACGTTGATTAATTGATCAAGTGATAATGTAATAACAGTGATATTAGCTGACTACAAGGGGAAGACAAATTGTTATATCAATCCCAACTAAATGTCATTAAATTGTAATGTGTTATAACGTACAAGCCCCATCGTTCATCACGCTAGCTTATGCGACAGTAATATAAGGTCGTCGAGCTTCGTTGCTTCAGACATGGACACACATGCAGGATCGACTTTAGACGAAAGCAAACATGCACTACATCGGGGCACCTCATGCCACGATACTTTCCAACACATTATGTTGAATATCACGTGGCAATATTACAAAAGAAAAAACTTTCTTTCTTTCTACTATCTTGATAGTAAACAAATAGTAAATTGATAGTAAATAAATTGAAAATTGAAACAATCGAACGAAATTACAAGAAGAAAGGCTCGACGATGAACGTAGAATAATTGAAGATGAAAAACTAGGCTTGCATTTAAATTTCTATGCATTCAAGGAAATAAAAAAATGTTCATTCAATTTTTCTCGATTACAATACTATCTTCCCATAGATTGTGTTATCCCACAAGTTCGTGCCACTTATTGTTCTGTTACTCAAATTAGTATGGAAACAATATTCCTTTAAATGGTGTAACAAAAATGTAACCATCCTCTCTTTCTATGATCTTTTCATATCTGGCAAAATTAAAGTAAATTTAAAAAAAGTTTATGTCTTCACTTGGAAGTAACTTGTACAGTAATATCGTCACGTAAAAAAATATCGTTACATCTCGTTCGATACGGATCACTTGAAATTTAAAATTCAGATATTTGATTTTAATTTGTTCATGAGGATACAAAAGGGCGCTTGTATTAAAAGTTTCATCGGGGCGCGGATAACTCAAACGTCGGCGCTGAACACATGCATCACACACGTTATTACACTGTAATTTCATCAATACAATCACTGACAAAAGCACACTTGACATGCTCGGTAATCACTTCAACACCAATCAATTTGAATGTTACCTTTATATATCTTGTGTAACGTGCTTTCAAAACTTTCAAAGTGAATGTATTCCGCTTGACCATGAAAATTGTTAGTGGTCGCTATCATCTGTTTCTATACGAATATACATGTTATTGCAATCACAATGAGAGTGAGAGTAACTATTTTGAAAATAGAAGATGAATGTGTAGATGTTAAATGAATCGAATATATATTAAATTATACTTTTCTGTGAACAAAATACGTTTTGCTCTTTATTTGTAGCTTTTCTCAACTCGTTTGTATACAAGAATCCATGCAATCAAGAAAAATGAATTTAAAAGTTCTAATAATTACAACGTAAAATTTAAATGTAAATTAAATTATAGGGCTGATCAGTACAGCCGCAGTCATTATTTATGATGAGTGGTTCGTCTATATAGAGTATAGAGATTAACTACACTATATCTATAGAATTCAACTATAGAGCTTATCGCCTACAGAAGTCTACGTTACAACTAAACGCAGCGTCTCCTAATTTCTCCTTTAGGTATTTCCAATCACAAACACTTCCATCACAGCCTTCTACATCCAAAGGTTTCTCGTTAAGATAGAACCTTACTTTGTTCGAAGAATCACATCTGAAAGCAATATTCTATATGAAAATCAAGTAAAACGTTTGACGAATAGAAGCGAGTAGATTTAGGAACTGAGTACATATCCCGTTGCATTGTTGCTTTATAAAAACACGAGTATTGACGTACCGATAGAAAACAGCTGCGATATTTGCAGCAAATGGTACAAGGTAAGAAGTTCTCCATTTTCTACTGTCTACCATGCTTTCATAGTTCCCAGCTTTCAAAGGTGTTGTGTCTTTCGCGATTCCCATCGTCGTAAAAAGTAATTGAAGCGATGTACTATGGCTGAAGTAAAAAATACCTTGCGGCTCGTTCTTTGTGTCTCCTTCCTCCAATTTACTAAAGTGTAGAAGAAAGAGGTTTCAGAAAAAAAATTGCACGGTAATGTTTTCAGAAATACCCAAACTCTGTCGAAGAATTATCACGAATATTTGTTTACTTTGTACGTATCTTTTTTAAACGGTAAATTATTAACGATTTTTAATTAACGTATCGTTTCTGCGTACAATGGAAATTATATTATATTATATGAAAATAATATTACAATGAAAACTGCACTAAAATATTAACATTATATCGTTATGCTATCGGTAAAATGCAACACGTGTTCTGAACACGAATTGCGTAAACTCACGTGAAATGTTCGAACATATCCTGCAACGTCGTACATCCAACCTTATTGCTCATGTTTTGCCCGTAACTGGAGTGATAATAATAATAGAGATCTTCCTCGTACTCGAATACTTTTAACGACTTCTCTGTAAAAGCGGCGCACCAAGGAGATAATTTATCGACGAACCAAGCCCTTTCGAACACACACGCTTTGTACATAATCAAAACAGTATCTGCAACAAATGAATTGATTGAACAATTAACCCTCTTAAGCGCGAATTGATGACGATTAAATAGGCTCAGAATCTCGCAGCAGTGCATTCCATACCATAAGGAAGATCATGTTTAAATCCTAATCGTCGACTGATTTCGTGAACTGTTTCGTTCATGACAGGACCATTCACAAAATCATTATCTTCAGCGTTGGTTGAAGGACTGTGCACTTCATCTAGCCAAGGTTTACAAAATTTGTAAAGCTGAAAAATATAATATTGTTTTATTGGATAAAAGTTTATGAAATACCGATTGATGTAATGTTGTAAATTTCAGAATTCCATTTAAAATATAAATTAAAATTATAAATTAAAAATGTCTTATATAAAATTGTTAAATATTAGTCAAAATTCGGTGGCACTTAAATAACATTGTTCCCACATTGATAAATTGATCGACTGATAATGTAATAATAGTGATATCAGCTGACTACAAGGCGGGCAAAAGTGTGAAATCAATCCCAGATTGGTCTTATCCTTATTCTTAATATTTTATTCTGTCATTCTTACCTTCAATAAAGTGTCTTCATCGGACTCCAGCACTTCCATATCAATGGTAGGTGTATTACCAATAACACCATCGGTGGTAGATTCATTACCAATAAGACCTTCGATAAAAGAGTTCATGCTAGCGACGGTTCGTTGAGTATTCGTCGCTCTGAACTATGGGAAAATCAGTATAAATGTGTGAATAATTTTCATTGAAAACTATATAATTGTAAATGTTATTTCCGAATTGATTTAAAATATTTAGAAGATCTGCTTTGACAACTTACTTTGTATTTGCTTGAATTAGATTGCAGAAGCTCAGGGAAATAATCTTTATATCTTGCCCCCATTAATTTTAGATCTTCTTCACCTTGCTCCGTCAAGTACTTTTGGGTATCTTTGCTGAGGTCCGGATTTACTTTCCATTTTTTTAACATCTTTATGCTTTCTTTACATAAACCACCACCTAGAAGTAAATATCACCATAAAATAATTACATAAATAAGTCGAAGTAAAATAGGATGTAAAATAGTCAATGCTAAAAACGGTTATTTGAATTTATACTGGGAGGTAAAAAATTGAATATTTTGTTAACAGTTCGATTACTGGAATAATTGTGCTAACTAGTAATATTACATTCTTGTCAAGAATAATAAGAACACATTTGCATACAAATTTTTTAAATATTTAGTAACAGCCACAGTCACATATTTACATAAAAAAACATAATTTAAATTCTGGGCAAAATTTTTATCTAGACAGGAAACATAAATGACGACTAAAAGATAAACGACTCTTTTCCCAGTGCTCGTCAAATGAAAATAAAAATGTCAAATTTCGAATGAAACGTGACACATTGATCGAATAAAATGTAACTGTTCGATCGGAAAGATGTTTACTTATAATATTTAATGCAATATTTATAGAAAACTCTAATGAATTATAAAATGTAACAAAATTTGGTCAATTATCAATGGCGCACTACACTTTAATCGTTTGGAACATTTTCAAAATATAATTTGCAATAAGCCATACTCACGTCCATGTTTTTTATGATTGTCTATAATATCATCTTGAAGTTCTGACAATTTCTTTTTCATACTTTTGATCTCCTTTCTTCCAGGATAACGAGTTCCATGTCTCGCCAGCATCCAAATTTGCACCGGTTCGCAACCTTTATATATATCAAGTACATAAGAAAAGTATATTAAAAATTTAGTATAAGTTAAGAACCCTTTCATCGTAAATTCGAAAGGTTTTAGTACTTACTCGGTACGCTAGTGTTTGTAATTAAGCCATGCATGTGATGGTAAGCTGTTTTTGTACCAGCATTTAGATACGGATGTACATCGGTAGGATAACAATAATTATTTTCAACATCGCTTGAAATTGAACGACCCTTGACGCAAACAAATGCAACTAATATTGTAAATATTCTAATATCCAGCATTCTCGTATCTGTAATTGAAAATAAAATGTATCAAATCGCTAATCTTTATAAAAGCGTAAACGTTCTACAAACGAAAATATCATTCCAAAAATAAATCAGGAGCAATGCACGTGACTATTGATAAAATCTATAGATCGTTACTTTATCGTGATACCATAGTCATTATGACAGATGTTACTTCAGATAGTGCATACGTATTGTGAGTGATTAAACGTTTGACATAATCTATACGAATCAATTTGTAAGGGTACATACTTTTTCTTCGAATTTTCAATATTGTTGTGTTCGATTAGTGATACCAACAGTATATCTTCAAAATTTTCGTTTATCTGTTTTTCTGTCTGATTGTCTATTCCAACATAATGAAAAAACAAATCAACATATTCTTAATATATATAGAAATATATAATTTTATGCACCTCTAGACATTTCTTCGATCTAGGGAAAAATTTTTCAATTTTCAATAGAAACGATCCACTAAGAAGAAATATTTAAAGTTATGAAATAATTTAGTATAAACTAGTGTCAAATGGGCAGTCATAGAACGTTTAAATCTTATCACGTCTATCCTAAACGTAAATCACGAATTGTCCAAGAATGCTTACTGTACTATTGTCTGTTGTTAGTCTTTATGTATAGGTAGTTTGTGAAAGTAGCTTTAGAATATTGTTTTTTAATAACCTAGATACACCTGTCAATGTAGTGTGGTGAAGACTTAAACGACATCACTTTTCGCATTTAATTATAACATTTTATACTTTCATTTAGAATAAAATATCGCATAGACTCGTTACCGCTAATTATTTATTAAAAAACAAAGTTCTCTTATGGAATACCCTTTACGTTTAATACCATTCCGTTTAAAATTCTAAGTATACATTCCAATTTTTAAAACTTCTCTATTTGTATTACTTTCGCTGAAGGAAGTGTAATTTTAATCCCTACATAAATTGTATTATGTTGTTCACTTTAAATATGATCGGAAAAGTAACAGAATATAAAGTATATGATCCAATTGACAAGTGCGTTGCACCACTCGTAATTATACAATACGTTATCGCACGTGCAGCTATACAATCGCGTGCCACGGTTTTATATTCTCAAGCGATCGGGTAAAAAATGATATGTTTACTTTATTAACATGTAACAATGTTAACATTTTCATAACAGTTTCTTGATGTATAAATTTGTAAACAATTAAATTCTGAAGTGGACAATAAACTGAAGCAAGGTAGATGCGAACTAAATTTCATTTTTACGAAATTATATTATACAATAGACATTAAAATGTATAACGACATTACTATTTTATGAATTTTAAAAATTTTCCGTTACATAACATCATTTCGCAAACCTTTACACAATTTAGTACTAAAGTGAGCAATAAACTGAAGCAAGGTAGATGATAACTAAATTTTATTTGTACAAAATCTTATTATACTGTAGGTATTAAAATGTATAAGTGCAAATACTAAAATTAAAAAAAAAATTATACAGCAATATTAAATTGTTTTTGCATTTCACACAAGTTTCCGTTAATTTGATCATGCGCTTTATGGTAAAAAAAAATACACGCAACGTATGTTAATTGTTCATGTAAAATACAGAAACTGCTTAACATGCGATTGTAATTTATTAATTCCGGAGTACACCAGCTCTTTAATAAGGTTTTTTCATAAATGTTTACTACTCAATTATGTACAATAGATCTTCCATGCAGTGACACACTACTTACGTGTAGTCGTTTAGACGAATGCTCAAGAACTGGTTGCTCGCCTACCTTGTATGCTGTGTGATTGAGCGATAAAAATGTTATTAACTCTACCGTTTCCTCTTTTATAGCAAAAAGTATCCAACCACTACATATATCAATCGCCTCAAGCGACAATACAGTCAAGGACAAAAATATAACACGTCGTATATTTTTTTTATATAGATTGTAACACCAGTCGAGAGAATGTACGTTTTCGTAGATTATTAACTACCACTTCCTATTTCGCTTACGGTGTTTCTCTTTTTTTTTTAAACTCATTAAACCTAATTGGAATTTTTTGTAGTTTTTTACATTGCTAGTAAGTAAAGTAAGATTTTGTATGTTTTTTTTTTAGTTTTTTAAATTGCAGGGTTAATTGTAGGGTTATTGAATTAAATTTGCGTTTAGAATGACTTTCACTTCTTTTGTTCCGAAAAAAAAGTAAGTCGTAATAAATTATTGTAATTTCTGGAATTCTGGTGTGCGCCTTGATTGACCACAGGTTGTTCCTATTTTATCTGTTTTAATTTCAATAATGTTTCTGTAATCTTTTCATTGGGTGTACGTGATTATTGATCTATACGCAGACACTTTTTAAATTCTATGTCCAATAGCGTGTTGAGTTTCTTCTGCTTTTGGTTATTCTTTTGTATTTGAATCGATGGGATTTCTTTGGGAATTTTATTTTCAGTAGAAACACAAAATAACGATAATATAATGTACTATGTGTTAATTTATTTTTCAAACACGCCTACAATGTTTACCTACCTTGTTTACGTCTGGTTTTCATAAAATTTGCAAGTTATCTATAAAATATATTCGAGACACATATGTGCTTGTTTTTATGGTCATATCTATCGTATTCAATTTCCGTTTTGGGTAACAGATTGACTTTCGACTAGTTCAATATTTTTTCTATTGATTGCCTTTGCATCCAGTCAGTAGTAAAGCTGACGTATTTTTTTCTCTGGATTTTGTTAACATTTTTAACCACTATTCAATTTCCTGGTGAGGCCGTTTGGTCAAACGTATCTTACCTTATCTCCAAATTTTCAAGAAAAGCTTTCATTACCCAAGCTTTAAATACTCGAAACAAAAATATTAATTCTATAATTTTAGATTAATAAACTAAAAATTTCTACGAGGCTGAAATTTGGTAAAAACAATTGAAACAACATAATCTAATATTTGTCGCACGGTTTTTCTCACGACTTTTTAAAACTGTTGGCTCGAAACGAGACTCGGTGTTAGGTCGCAATCGTTCATTTTTTAGACGAGACGCAAAGGTTTGTTAACACATTCGCAAATTATTAGCACATTCCCGACACCTCGAACTCTGCTTACGTATGTATAAATTCCATTACTATTTTTCATTGCAATCTTACATTTAAGCATACGTAAATCGTATGAAAAGTTTTAAATAATAAATTATACCTTGTTATTTCATATAACTAAGTAAATCGAATCAATCAATGCTAAAAGAGAGCTTATAAGGAATTTGTTCTATTGTTCTTTGCTTTGAAGTATTTAAGAATTATTTTTTAATACTTTGATCTCCACTACTAAGCGACATGTTTAGAGTCGTGGGAAGCTCTTAGGAGATGAAGGGAAAGGGGAGGTTTGGATGAGAAGAGAAGAGGAAATGAGAGAAAGGGCGAGCAGCGGAAACGGGGGTCCAGAAAGAGAATGCATGGAGAATGTATGAGGAAGGAAGGAATTGATGTGGCCAATTTCTCTCTCTCTCTCTCTCTCTCTCTCTCTCTCTCTCTCTCTCTCTCTCTCTCTCTCTCTCTCTCGTAGGCGTTATGTTGTGAGCGGAGCGGAGGTCTACGTGTACCCCGCAATGGGAATAAACTACTACATATTTATCGATTTTTTTTATTACCGATAGATTATTATACATTTCTAATGATTCAAAATATAAAAGCTGAAAAAACACTGGAAGAACTGCAAGGTTCTTTATGAGGTTCTTTATGAGATTCTTAATGAGCTTTTGTGCCGCGCCTTAAAGATGTGGAATGATTATATTATTAATTAAATAGCAATTAATTTTGACCAATTTCACCTTCTAAAAGGCATGATGAAGCTTTAGCTAACATTACTATAGATATATTTGCGGTGTACTTTCTTCGCTGATTCATGTATTTAAAATACTGTGTATATTACAAATGGCAATTATTTAATTATTCAAATATTACCCTCATCTATTAGTAATATATTAATTGAATACTAATGACTCGATTGTTTTTTTATTAGCTCTATTATAAGCGCCTGAATTCTGTCAGAATTTAATTGGCTGAATTTGTAGACGATAAATAATATTATTTGTTAATGATATTGGTACATTCTCGTCTTTGACTGTACTTAATAACATTTGATAAAACATTTTCGGAGGTATATTAGAATTTCTAATGAGCACCCTCTTTATCTGACAAGGACATGTATTCATATTTATAAACCGTACAGGCAATTGATTATGCTAGGAATCGGTATTAAGGAAACGCATAATTTTCGTTAACCGGTTAGTCGTATATACATATTTCATACGCACAAACATATTAATGCGTATTAGACGTATTATTGCGCAAGATAGAAATCTGTTGCTCCATTGGAGTAGATGCTTGTGGTTGAACATTTGTGAAATATTAAATTATAAATTCTAAGAGCTTGGTTTCTTAAAGTTCTGATATTCTGAAATTCTGTAAATAGATAACTTAATATTTCTAGTGATCTGATTACTCATTGAAATATTGCGTTCATTTGGTACAGTAAAAGATTGATTATCGGAACGCTGATTACTCGTAATGCGATTATAAGAAAATTTATTATCAGAAAGATCGATTGTAGGCAGGAGCGATTGTGTGTATACATGTGATACAATGAGTAATACTTCGAAAAGATACTATTTCCTGTCACTCCCATTTGTTAAACTTCCAACTAGACGATAATGTTCTACAAGTATTGATAATAAACACTTGTACAATATATTACGAAATTCATAATTAAATAAAGGTAGAGCGCTATCGATGGGTGGCAATGTAGAAATTATTAACACTTTTATAGCAGATATCGGACATCGTGCACACAATCTAATTCTCTTAGCAACTTATTAAGTTTACTTAAAATTAAAAAAAAAAAAAATACTCGTTAATAAATAAAAATAATTCATGTTGAGCAGCCTGTGAGCACTAATTATTTTTGTAAGTACTCCAAGGGTACTAAACACAAATTGTTATTATCTTGAATATTTTCGTATACTCTGTAGATTTGCTTTATGATCTTTTTATAACTTACATTTTTACTTCTGTAAGTCAGGACTTTTGAAGTCTACTTGCGTTCTCATCAATTTTTATTACTAGACTGCGGATTTTTATGCAAAATAAAACCATTTTACTCTGCAAATATTATAATATAAACTTTACTTTCAATATTTTTTTATATTATTGCATACTGTATCCATTTTGTAGTTTCTTGCACATTCAAATTCCTTACGAATTCATAAAAATCCGCGGTCTATTACGAGTTAAATTCAATACGTATCCCTGTGTAAAAGGTAAATTGTCATTCTGGAAATAATAAAGTTCTACACGGTTCCTGTTGCAATATGGCTCTGTATTTGGCACAAAAACAGTTGCGTGATTTGTGCGATCCATATCTCTTACTGACGCCGGCAGCACGTGAAAACCCCGGGGTCCGTACGAGATACATATCGCTTTCTATCAATTCAATATTATCAATAATATCAATTCTACATTACAATATTATAGCAATGTCCCTGTAATCGTCTATAAGTACGGACACGCTATGAAGAAATGGATATTTCGAAAAACTGTTTTTCAAACACCTGTAAAATTTTTATTCATTTGGTGGAATTCGCAAATAATTTTAAAGAAGAACGCGCACCATATCGTGCTTTCTGTAGTACATAACTTATGATTCTACATTCATGCCACACGATGTGCTATTCTATATTAAAATCTTAAGCAGTACCTATGATGTTTATATACTCATAGATAGAAGTTTTAGAGACATTTTGGTTATTAATTCGTAATAGCTGAGTAATGTATTCCATAAGTGCAACAATGTTTGAAAAAAAAATGCTAAAATTAGTTCATCTAAAATCGTTGATAAGTTACAATAGATTTTCTAGGTACACTTATTGAGAAATCCTAAACAAATACTTGATTGAACGATAGCATAAACACACCTGTTGAATGTAATTATTGTTGTACATGTACATAATGTTTCTCATTATTATTCACTGGTGTATTTGAAAATCGGAGACAATAGAAAACGTGTTGTATATTTGTGATGCGAGAGTCAATCTTAAGATTTTAACGTTTCTTTAAAATAAATAATTGGCAATGAAATAAGAGCGATTGGAATTACTGTAAAAGTAAAAGAAGGGCGAGGCAACATTACGCGTGACAACTGTAACACTTAAGTACAATTTATTCGTAGTAAAGGCCGATTACAAAGCAGTAAGCGTGAAATGTTCGTGCTTCGTATGTAAATGTAGAATAATTATCCTTTTCAGCGTCCCAGAGAAACCCAATTGAAGCTTCTACGGACTGGCTTGCCTTCTCAATAATAGTCACATTGACTATAATCTTGTACCTAAGAGCATAATTTACGATTTTAAACCAAATTATATTCATTGAAATTTTTTGTGATCAATGATATAGCTTTAATATTTATTTCTGGATCAATTGTTCAATCAAAAATAATTAATTTACGAGAAAATATCGTATCATGAGGCTATGAATACATAAAACTCAGGTAATTTGTAAAACAATCGAATTCTGGACAAAAATTCGATCACCTGTCAAAGTGTAATTGCTTTATTTTTTCCCTAATATCTGTAGCCACCGATTCGCAAACTTTTGGACACTCCACAGCATCATAAGGAATATCTTCGAGCTTATTAATCATTATCATCTTTACAATCTTATCCACTGGATCCACTTTAAAAGGATTATAAGCTTCTAGACGATAGGTGTTCTGATAATTTGGAATCTAAAAAGATAAAAAAGATCGAAGAAAAACCAAAATTTGTTCAATAATTAAATGGAATAAAAAATTACGGATTTCTCATTGTAAATTAGCAAAATGTAATCAAAACGTTTCGTTTCTGAGTTTTATTCTTGAACCATTTTGCACAGTTTTTTATACGGTTATTTTGTTATGATTACAGAACTGTTTCAGAATATCCATTTACGTACTTCTATGCATCATCAAAAACATTTATATTGTCTTCTTAATTATATTAATGATATAACTACCTAATATAATTAATAGATTGAATTGTATTGATAAATTCTTTCTTACCTCTCGTTCATTATCCTGACCTTTTTCATTCGCGTCCAATTGAAATGGCATTTCACAACGAACAATAAATATAAAGAAATATATAACAATTACACTTAGTACATAATTATTGTTTATAAAACAGTTTACAGTTATTATATATATTGAGTCTTAATTAACAATGGAACGAGCATTTGAATCATTTAAACCAGAAATACTCGAATCACTGATGTCTAAACAGCTACTCTCTGTATCGAAGGGTTACTTGGAAACCAAAGTAAATGAAATTGATTGATCAATTCCTACGCCAAAAACGAGATCAATAATAACGTTTTAAATAATATGAAACATCTAAAAATTTGTACAAAATATTTCTCTTGCATTACATTTATTTCATTATGCATAATCATTTATAATTCACAAAGTCGTCGTATCAATTCGTTCAAATTATGCGCACGCGGTAACGATTCAAATATCGATTTGCGCACATATCGAACCAATTGGGATTATCGAAGGCAAGTGCAGTGCTAAGACCGCGTCTTTCAATAATGCAGCCGTTACAGTTCCTCGGTAGTATAAATCAGTTAAGTGCTAGTGATTAGTGAAAAATCCAATTTTTCATTAAGTGTAAATCACAATGGATTAAATAGTGTTACCCAAACAAAAGGATTATGCACGTGTTTACCGAATTGAATGGATATTCAACTACCTAAAAATTGTCGGCGTATAACAAAGGTTAGTTTAATACATTATTGCATATATCAGCACTTCATTTGTTTAATACCGAATGAAGATAATGCAAATTTAATTAATGAACTAATTCGCCTACTAAAAGGTGTGTACATATTCCGTTATCGAAAAATGAACATTACGTTTGCGATGTCTAATTCACAAGCGTGAAATATTTTTTGAATGCTACTATCAGATAGTAATGACGTTTACTGATAATAAATTATAGTTTATGTTTAATTATCATACTTCATTTTAGTGTCGTAGGATAACATATACAAAGTGCTAAATAATACTTAAATAATGATAGATTTCTCTCACAGCAATATATTTAAACACTTACATACTGAAGCAATGAAACAAAGCAAATTTTTTTATGGCAAATTGACAATCTTTTGGCATTGTTTTATATTATGAAAACATATAACATATATATTGTATACATAAATTTGGTTATATACATGCAATTCATTGGAGACATCAGTTGAGAGATAAATATCTATACAAACATTTAAACAAGTTTATTTAAGTACTGTAATAAAATTTAACATTTTATTTTTAAAGTACGAGTAACTTTTTTTTAAATAAATTAGTTGGACTAGTAATTAAGTAAAAGTTGATAAAAGTAAAACTAAACTGTAATACAATACAAATACAGAAAACTATACATTCATGCCTGAGCCATAGCATTACAAAGATGTATGTCTTTTGATTTCTTGATTGCTAAATGTAAAACGCACACATCTTATTGTATATAATAGCATTACACATTGCCATGACATAGTATCTTGACTGAAATTGTTTTAAACACTAATATTCAAATTATATGCTACTTTACTCTACATAGAGATCAAATGCTACTGACACCAGGTCTGTGTCAATTTGAACCTTATGTTTCGTTATAATTAAACAATGACCATATGCCATAACAAAATATTTATAAATACGCACTTCCATACACAAAATTCATTGACTATTCTAAGACAATAGTTCGACTTCAGCTTGTATATTTTGCCGTGCTTGTTCTTCATATTTTTTACGAAATTCCTCTGTAGCAAAAATATTTGGAATCTGCACAAAATTCTGCAGCACCTAATTTTGAATGCACATATATGAAAAAGAATGTATATACTTATACAATGTACTACAATATGTACTTATATACAATATTAAATTGTATTATTACCTTTAAACGCAATGCAGTATACATTGGTTCGCTAAGAAAAGAATATTCACCACGTATCTTTTCTCTATATTCTGCATAATTTTCTGAAGAAGATCCTAACACAGCCATGTCCAAATCTAATAAGTAATGACAATCTTCTTCTCCAAAGACACCACTAATTTTATGTGCTTCTGTACTATGCGTTGCAGTTACTTCGAGCAGCTGGCAAACTTCTTCTCTTAATTCTGCACCCTGTAAGTATAGGAGAAAATAGTTTAGAAATTTTATATTTCATAGTTTTTCTATGGTAATATTAGTTCAATATTATACAGCGATACTTACAGCAGGCAATCCAGCTTCATCTGCAAATTCACTAAAATGTTCCAAGTTCTTGCTTTCACCATCTAAAGCTTTGGGATCATATTCAAAGCTATAACATAATTGGAATTTATTTAACATCACTCCCTCGCTTTATTTTATAGAAATACTTACTTTTGAAAGAACAAAGCTAGTAGCATAGCTTGGGGCTTCTTTAAATTATCTTTAATCTCATAATAACAGTTTAACTTTTCACGAAGTGAATCTAAGTTATGATAAGTACGCTTTTCCTCTGAATAAGCCTCCTGTAATTTTGTGAACCACGTATCACAGACTGCACTATCTAAGCCTTCAGTTGCTTCTTTCCAACTCTCTTCTATTGATGCCATCTTTTTCTGCAATTAATTAAAATTCACTAGGTATCTTTCAAAACATTTTACTATTAATGTGTTTTTTTTTTATTTAAATTAATGTGTATTCATAATTTAAATAAAAAGATTCTTATGTATAACTAAAAAGAAACAATATTTTCATGTGGGAATATGAAAGGTGTGTAAGAAATAAGAAAAGCTTTTTGTTTCCATAATTTCGGTATACTCACGCTATATTAAATGAGAATAATGTTGTAGTTCAACTTAGAGATGAAAAGCAAGAAACTGTGCTTCGTAGAAAATTCTGATTACCGATACATAATGCGTCGTTGCGAGTCCACTGATTGAGCGAATTCTACTTGATAAAATAAAGTCCGCTTCCACTTATTGATCGGATTGTGTTCGCGTTTTATCAACGAAACACAGCGCGAGTTGCAATTAGTATTCCTTGTATAAAATAAATCCTTATGTGCTCGATATTCATAAGAGATTCACTTACAACGTTAAAAAGAAAAGAAACAAAGAATTTTACAAAAATCATTAATTTAACTTTTTACTCGCACATTATGATTTACGATTAATTATATCAAAGTCTCAACTGGTTGGCAAAGATTTGTCCAAATGTTGGACTTCCCGTTTATAAATATAAATTGTTTATTAGGAATTGTAATCGTATAGGAATGTTATTTCTACGTTGATTATTAGATACATGAAATGCATCTCTACATAATTTTACAAATTTTAAAGAATTGCTGCTTTAGAAAACATTTGATTACCAGTTATTTTATATTCCTTACAAGTTACCGCCCTCTGCGAATGTTTCTTGTGCGTTTATAGTAACAGTTTGTAGCATGCGGAAATTTTGTATGCAGTTAGAAATGAGTTGATAAACAGTCCACATAGATTATAACATTTCTCTTGTTAAAGAAAATGTTCATCACAAAAAATCCAGTTCAAAAATTGTCCATCTTTTGGTTTTCTCCAACTTTAACCTTAAAATTATTTGAAATAATAGAAATTGTTACGCGGGTAAAATTTATAATATTATAAACATGTTATGAAATTATGATAAAAATAAGAGGTACAATTATGAGTAAAAATGACGATTTATCATATTGTAATAGTAAATAACTTATCTATGCAAAGACTTATGAAAATATTGTAACAATTTACATCCCTTTTTGTTCATAAAAAACACTTCTCAAAGATATACATTTTCTGCCCTTTATTTACAGGAAAGGAAATGGATAAAGACATTGTGATATTGCTTTATATCATTTTCATTGGACCTTTGTCAATCTCATTATTTTTATATGGATTTTTCCCTTTGATAAAATATGACAGTACCATAGCAACTGAAAATGATATTCCACAATTCATAGACAATGTGAGGTGAGCTATATAAAAGGTTGAAAAAATAAAGCAGTTATATTTGTTACATTGATATTTTAAAAGTATTAAATGTGCTTTGTAGAGTAAAGGTAGATACATTGTATCAACCTGTGGTAAAAAAATTAATCATTATGATTATCGATGCTTTGAGGTGGGATTTTATAACAGGATCCATCGGAAAATTGGCTATGCCTGTAACAAGTAGTCTTATAACAAACTCTTCTGCATGTTTGTTACAAGCTCATGTTCAACCACCAACTGTTACAATGCCTAGAATAAAGGTGCAATATATTAATGAAAATAAATTTAGCACTTTATGTTTTTAAGATTATAAAATAGATAAAAGCTGATATTTCATACATAGGCAATCACAACTGGGACAATTCCTAGTTTCATTGATGTAGCTTTAAATTTTGGGAGTAAACCAGTTACTGGTGATAGTGTGCTTCTTCAGGCAAAGAGATACGGGTATAAAACAGTATTTTATGGAGATGATACTTGGCTAACTTTATTTCCCTCTATGTTTGATCGTTATGATGGCACTACATCATTTTTTGTAACAGATTTTACTGAGGTACTTGATACAATAATTTTCATTAAATTATTATAGTATTTGCTTATAATTCTATACAAATTTTAAATTTAGGTTGATAATAATATAACTAGACATTTGAATAAAGACTTACATAATACTAATGATTGGTCAATAATGATTCTTCATTACCTAGGACTTGACCATATTGGCCATGTTCATGGACCATTTAGCCCACTTATTAAAACTAAACTCACAGAAATGGATAATATAATTGTAAAAATTCAGTCAAAAGTCCAAGAATGGGTAGGTGTAGTAAATTTCCTTTATTCACAATTTATTAAACATAATAAAAGAAAACAATGCTTTATCTTCTGTATTCATGAAATTAGTGTAAACTTATTATCTTCAGAATGAAAATAATGAATCTTCTTTGTTTATTATCTGTGGGGATCACGGGATGAAAGATTCTGGAGGTCACGGTGGTTCAACCACATCAGAAACAACAGTACCTTTTATTGCAATTGGTGGAGAATGTACGAACAATCATTTTACAGAAGTATCACAAATTGACATTGCATCCACATTGTCTACTATTATGGGCGTGCCAATACCATTTTATAATTTAGGAACTGTTTTCACGGATACATTATACGACTTACCTGTTTCAAAGAAATTATTTATACTTTATTATAATGCTAAACAAGTGTTCAATCATTTTCAAAAATTGCCAGACTATAAGTCTGAATGTAAGTAGTAACTACATTCAACGAGGTGTTACAATTCTCTGAATAATACAATATATTTTCAAATACTTGCAGATGCATATCAGAAATATCTAGAGGCAATAAAACTTCATAATGCTTGGCTAACTACTAAAGATTATCCAAATCATGTGGGAGATGACATTGTTCTTTCCTATAAGGTTGCACTTAAAGGAATGAAAGAAATGCTTATAAGTAGCATGATTAAATTTGATTTACACATAATAACAGTAGCCATATTTTTTTTATGTCATGTAAGAACTCAAATTCAGCTTTATAACAATCACTTTCAAATTATTTCGAGTTAAAGATGTAATCATTATTTCAGATCATTTGCATTTCCATGGGGAAAGAGTGTTATACATCCGTTGCATTCAAAAGTACTATTTCGTTGATTGCTTTAAACACATCCCTATGGATATTAATAAATTATACTTTGAAATGTGAAAGCATATCATTCCTGTATACAAAGAGTTTAATTACCATTGTGATAGTGCTTTTTATAATAACTGTTTTAGCCACGAATTGTTACTTAATTGCCAACATTAATTATTTCAACCCTTTCATAATTGAGGTAAACAATGAAGTAATATACAACGAACTTCACCTGTTCTAATAAAATCGTATTTTAAAAATTAGAAAAGAAACGGTGGAGTAGGAAGATGGCTATTTCCAATTAGCACACTTGTACATGCAATTAGCCTCAGTGGTAGTAGCTTTGTCGAAGAAGAGCATCAAACTTGGTATTTCTATTGGGTCACTCTTCTCGTGCTACTGCTTTACAATTCTGCTACGCAATTTTTTTTACATCTGCCATCGTAAGAAAAGTCTTTTTACAGTCTAAAGTATTAAAAAAAAAAAAAAAAAGGATTTGAGCTCCAAATATCAAATTCCAGGTACAGGAACTACGAACAGTATTCATACGCACAAACTTGTATTAAACTTTTATTACTGCTGATTGGACATAGAATTCTTAGGAAATTAAATAGTACCGGGGATAAGTACGCTCATCTTCCCGATATAGCTGGGTTCTTGGCTGAACAAGAAAGTATGTTAAGCATGACGATACTACTCATTACTGGTAATTAAATAATAAATAATTATTTGAAACGAGTACGAAATGAATGTATTCTCAAGTATTTGATGTATTTTTTCTTAGCGCTTGCATTATTGATGTGGCTTGATTTTATACACGAGGATAAAAGCTACAAAATACGGTCATTAGTATTTAATACAATAATCTGTGTATGTATTTATCTTCGTCATATGCATAACAATAGTGTTGGTAAGATACCATTATATCCTCAATCTAGGTAAGACAGTTACTCCTACTGAAAGTTTGCATTTTACACAGTCATACTAAGGTCCTTTGTTGCAGAGGAGTATATGAAGTACAAATCTTTTGGGTATTATTGGCGATAAACGCCGTAAATTGTATTTATCGTTTGGTATTCAAAATTAAATCTGATAAGACAACGTTTTTAAAAACCACGTTGTGTTGTATCGTACGAACGTGGATTATGATTACCGCAATGCTTCATCAACCGCATAATGTGATACTTTTACCATTTCAAATCATTTTTATTAGCGTGATTAGCACGATAATTAAGTATATTAATATGCAGCAAGTAAATACGTTTGTATATGCTTGGGCTGGTAGTGTATTTTATTTTTATCAGGTAATGTTCAATTACGAATAATATATAAAGTTAGTATAACTGATTTTTTGATATGAACCCACTTCCATTCAGGGAAATTCAAATAGTTTGGCAACTATCGATGTAGCTGCAGGTTACATTGGTATACAATCCTACGTGCCATTTATTAATGGGTCGCTATTATTAATTAATACCTATTCCGCGCCCGTTTTGGCCTTTCTTTTGCTCGTCTATCATGCAGCATTACAGTATCCGTATGAGTGAGTAGCTTTAAAAATTACATCGTTGAAATTTTCTTTTAGTATAATCCACTGTTATAAAGATGTATGTTTTTTTTGTTCTTATTTTAGTACATGTAAGATTATTATAGAAATCAGTAAAACGTACATCAGATGGAGATTGATACCAATAGCTATTTATACAATTATAATCAGTATTCAGCGTCATCATTTATTCGTGTGGTCGGTATTCTCACCGAAATTATTATACGAGGCTGTACATTCTACTATTACTTGTTTTGTTATATTTATCATAACAATTTTAGTTATACTACAAGAGGCAATAAACAACTATAATAGATGATGCAATATTTTGTGTTCAATTTTTTAAACCGAAACATTAGACACTTTAATATCTTAAATTAAATTCGTATTCTTTATAGTTGGATATAGTATATTTAATCGAGGTCATGATTTTCCTTCTCTCCAAGTCAGAATCAGTTGACTCGTCCAAAGTCGAGACAGTTTCTCTTTTTACCAAGCGTTGATCGGTTGATTCATCCAAAGTCAGGTCGATTTCCCGTTTTCTCAAGTAAATTTTCCCAAATACAAAATATATCAAGAGAAGTTTTATTTTCAACTTCAAAATCACTTTACACAATCAATTACATTCATTTAAATTTCCTAATCATTTTTATAAAAGTCAAACGTAAATTTTAATAATACATGTAAAGTAACAATTCAGAGAAAATACATTCTCTACAATCACAATTATTCATCTACCTCAATGAAGCTCGGACTGTAAATGCTTTATACATATTATAGTTCACCATGTAACTATACATTGTTATATAACAAATGGTATGCACAATGAAACTGAAATACGTAAGTGTATAAAATTCTGTTTAATATAAGTGATTTATAAAAAAAAGAGAACAGGATGCAGTTTAAATTAAACGCTAGATAACATTTTATCACAAATTACATAAATTACAATGTACACCAAAATGTTGCGATATTTCTTATATCATGTAATGGTTTTCTATTTGAACTTTTCTATCAGCTTTTAACCACAAAGTGTAGTAACTCATGAAGCTCTTATTAAAAACGTGTATGTAAAATAAGTATAGCTATGTAGTCATGCAAAATAGATATGCTCGAAATATTGACTGAAGCAGGATCCTAGTTCAATTTCTAAAAATAAATTACTTTCTATAGGAACACAACAAGATCGAAAGAATATAGTATATTCGTACGTATTTCTTGTTTAATACTAATCGAGGCTTTTTCAACGTTTAACCAACATTGCAACTAGCTTCTTCAGAAATCAAATTATACACCGTGTTTATATCACTGTTCATTGCCTATGACCGACCTCGTGGCACGGTTCACTATTCACCAACAGAAGGTGTCGTTATGATTATTTACTCGACCAATCGTAAAATCCGTCATAAAACAGGTACTAATAAACGACCTGAGCTACACGACTCACGCCCATTGCCAGTGTGTAACTTGACCTTTGAAATAAACAACCCTGAAGTCTCGGTTAGTATCAATTATCAATCGTGAAGAATCGAGCCGTGAAAGCCTCAAATATCTTATTCGCACGTATTTGTTACGAATAATACTAAAATAATTAAATCTAAATAGCAGCAATATTATAATGCTTTATATTCTATAACGTTTTAAAATCGTTGCTACCCAAAACAGCGCTCTCAAGTAAGAAAAATTCAAATACAAATAAATAATTTATCGTGCTACACACAACCTTTGATTTTTATGTGATTAGAATGTATCGAATTTAGATAAAATTTTTTAATCTTTGTACCGAGTTCAGTGATCGAGTAATTTAATAAAATGCACGACAATGGATTTTATTTTTTCACAAAAAATGTCGCGAAGTTATGTAGCAATTACGCGAATTAAAACTACGAAGGAATATCGCACACCATTCGTGTACAATATTCAGAATAAAAGTTAAGTACATGAATACCTCGTAAGCTCGAAATAGTAGATGTTACGCTTTGTAACATATCAATTCTTAAAATGTAAAATATTATATACGTATTATACAAAAATAGAAATACTTTGACATTTATTTATCGCGTTACGAAAACAATTCTATGCGTTTTAAAAGTGTCTTGTATCAAGTGCTAATATACCACATTTAGTTTTGCAAGGCTGTAAAATTTCCTGCATTTCAATTTTTAAATAGAAGATTTAAAACACTTTTAAAGTGTCGAACAATTTATAACTATCCGAAATAATTTATATATATTGACTGTAACGTTATCTAAATAAAGTTACACTCTTGGATAATTGTTAGTCTTTAGTATGTATGGTTTTATAATAAATACCTAATAAATTAAGGAAAAATTCTGGCAATTTTCACAGTGTAATACAGCAGTATTATGCGACATTTGAGTATTCCAATTTTCATAACCATGATTACAGTCGACCCGTTCACATTTATGGTTTCATTTATCTGTACTTCGTGCCTATGGCTTCCCATTTTACTTCAGATTAACGTTTTAAAATGGCGAATTCATTCCAAGCTTCGTACCAAACTCTAACCGAGCCCTCTTCTGATACCTTACATTCACTCTGAAAAAATTGTCGATAAAGTAAAGAGTCTCGTTCTAAATCGTTCTTCATATACTTACTTAATTTCTTGCCATTTAACTAATTCATTAACGGCAAAGATGAAGGGCAACGAGACTAAGAAAAATAGAGGAAGATGAATAGGAAAGTCTTTGATATTTTGACCCTCCTCTTTCCAAAAATTGCAGAATACAGTCCCTGAGAATGCTGCTTGTGCGGCCAATCTGAGATAATTATAGCAGATATAGTACCTAAATTCTGCGTTACTATCGATATTTACGAATCTCGTACTTACGCTATAAATGCACTTAATAACCATACGAAGTTGTTAAATGGTTGCTTCTTCCAAATAGAATACTCTCTATGTACAAAGCCTATGGATATCGTTACTGTAACGAGGTATTAAAGATTTTTATATCGGAGTTTTAAACGAGGGATTCGAATGTTTCGAAACAACAACAAACTATACCTAAATGTAAAACTAACAGCGTCAAAGCAAAATGTTGTACCACTAAAATTACGTTTGGTTTCGCACCCCAACCGCCCCAGGAGGCCTCCCCACGTGCATCAGGGTACACGTAGAGGCACTTGGAATCTGTCGTTGTGTAAGTGGGGCACAAAGTCAAGAACGAGATGCATTGTGAAAAGACTATCGTTAAAACTGTCGGTAGGAATTTGCTACCGTAACACCACAGGACGAACAATGCGACCTGTAAAACAAAGCGCAGATACTAAAACGAAATCGAATGAAATTTTCACGTTCTTACCTGACCATTCACGGTACACTGATTTTTGCCTGTAGCACGCTGCATTATAGTAGTATCCTTTGGTGTAGCGATCATGGATATCGATAACATTGGAATGACTAAACAACTCAACCATAAGACTTGATCGACGGAGAACAAGGGCGGTAAAAGTAAAAAACCAGATACAGCTTGAGTGAAGGAGAGGGTAACCGTACAACAGAGCCAAAATTGTACGCAATTCCAAAGGCACTTCATGTAATGACGAGCCTGTACGTGTAATAAATGTTCGTGATATCGAAAAGTCGGTATCAGTAATTAAATTAAAATTAACTAAGCTTAACTTTCTGAATTTGAATATTTTCAGGCTGAAGATGTTAAGAGAGATAAGTATTTTTTTGTTAAAAGATTATGTTGAAAATAATCAATTTCAATGTGTTAAAGTTGAATGTAAATTGATCTACCTCCATAATCAAATGGAATACCGCAATCGGATCTTCGCGTTTAACGCTTAAAGAGCAAGCTATCGAATTTAATGCTCTACTCAAATCAATTGGAGATGGACCCTGATCTTCCCTCGTCGCGGATAATACAGGAACTCGTTGGCAAACTTGTGGATACAACGGTTCTACAGCCACTCTGAAATCGGACGATTTATTGAGACATGAACATATCTTTCAACACCATTTCATGTTTGAATATTCTATAAAACAGTTGAGCAGCAACTGTCTATTAATTACTTTCTTGCAAATGAATTTTTTATAGTCTCATGTTATAGGTAAATTTTTATATAAATGGCGTGCCTTGTTGAAGATGTTCGTTGTACGGGAAAGAGTGCAGAGAAACCTCGATATTCGATATATCAAGATGAGAATTTAATATATGTACAGCCAGCTACGAGACGTCCTATGACGAACGAAAGACCATACAAGAAACCAACCATTAAAATCGACTCGGATACGACGTATGGCACGTCTTACATGAAATTCGACTGCGTTCCTAAACGGAGATTCAATTATGGGGAACACGAAAAATTAGCGTATAAAAGCCCTGAACAGATTGATTCCGAGACAGTGTACAAACTGTCCTACCAAGCTGCGAATGGAAAGGTACGGAAACCGTTTACACCGAAATCCTGTTTATCTATAAATGGATCGCATGATATGACAACTATCCATGCGTTGTCCTACGGGAATCCTGGATATGTAAAAGTAGAGAGTTACAAACCATACCAAGGAAAAAATCTTCGCCCTGCGTTGGTGGATTTCCAAACAGTTACGAAGGAATCTTATCAAGATTTCGGTATGCCTGTTCCCATAGAAAGACCGAGGAAGCCAACATTTTGGCAGACTAAATCGAAAACGGATTATCGGACCACGAGCAGTTTATCTTACCAATATGCACAACCAGTCGCTAAAAAGATATATGTACGCAGTCGGCCAATTATTACTGCTCAAATTGAAAAAGACACAGTCTGTAAGATGAGTTACAGGCACCCAGGTCATTTTATAAAGAAGGAAAACTTCATTTATGAATAATGTTTTATGGTGTACGAAATATATATATATATTTGGTTATTTAATTTTAACTTGCACCGATTTCAATCTTTCAACGTGACGATTAGATCGAGCGAATAATAAGAAAATATTAACTTGTTACCCTGCATCTGCTTGCATAAAAATAGGCATGTTCTCTGCATTGGCAGAGGAGCCTAGGACGCAAACAACTTCTCCGTAGTCTTGCATGATGTGCAACATTTCCCTCGTAACAGCAGTGTTACAGTCAGTAAACAAAGACACCAAGAGAGGTACGTTGTCTATTAATTCGATATGAGGGCGAATCTTATCAATGCCTCTCGGTAGTTTCGCCTAGAATGTACGTAGAAAGTAAAACTTTAGAACTTGTACTTTGATCAGACGAAATAGCACTCGGTTAGGTACCTACCCTGTTCGATAGATCAAAGTTCACGGGAGCACTCTGTTCGGTACTGTCTGTGAGACAACTCAACGATCGCCATGCTTCTTGTCCGGATCCTAAATCTACACTTTGCACAAGTACACTATCTTCGCTTCTCACTGTATTATCCTGTTCTCTGTTAGAAATCGTTTCATTCCTATGGTTATTTTCTATTCTAAAGTTACATTACAAAAGATGGAACACAATAATAAGCAAATCAACAATCTGGAAGTACGGTAACGTTTAAACGCATCTAAAATGGTAACCAAAGTACTAAACAGTTTATTTGTTAGTTTATAGGAGGGGGAAAAGAAGTCTAGTCTATTTAAAAAAAAGGAACGGGGAGAACAAAAAGTAATTACGAAAATGGTGTCGATCCGGTTCTCGTGATCCTTTGTACTAGGCGACTTAGACTGGCATGCAAATTCAGAACAACATTATAACAGACGGTATACAAACATGAACTTAATTCAATGTAACGTGAAACAAACCTGTGGCTCATAGCGCTTTTAACTTGAGACAGTCCTGTATCGTTCCACTCCGTAGTCTCATCGTCGAATTTTACAGTAGAGAAATCTGTGTTTATAGCGCTCGGTGCCGACATACTCATGGCGCGGCTGTTGTCCAAATTCGTGCTACAAGGTAAAATAATATACATATTATTGAAAAACCATCTCTTCGCCGTTTTATCCATGCAGGGTATATATTCTTGGAACACAAACACATCAATGCAGCATATATATGCAGCAGAAATGTATGAATGCATGCTTATAAATTTTCAATTGGCAACTGTTTTTATAAGATATCGTATCGAGAAGCAAAAGCACGATTCTCAATAGTAAATAGATACGTATAATAAATAACAGTGAATGTTTTAGTGTTTATGTGTGATAAGAGGGTAATATGTAACATACCGAGGAGAGACACGATTAAGCAAGTGGCTGGCCTCATCCATGCAGGAGTAATTATGCTGATGAGATTGGGCCGAGGGCGTGGGTGAGGACATGGCTGCTGCCTGGCTCACCCACCAACCCACTGGACTCTCGGACCTAATATTGGTGTGTTAGTTACATACATTTATTCGTGTATCTTATGTATGTCAATGATATAATATGAAAGTTTAACACATGTGCAATGGAATAACTGTAAGTGTATAAAAGTAAATGTTTAATATTGTATCTGCTAATGAGGAAGCAGTTAAACTCTATAAAGTGATCACCGTTAACTATTGGTATAAACGAAATTATTTCAACTTAATGCTCTAATCATTAACGTAATAAAATATATGGAAGGATACGTAAGAGAAAAGTACACTTAGATCTTAGATTTCGTTATAATACATATCAGTAACAAACTAAAAGGGTAAACATCGGGTAATGGCATTCAAAGAACTTTAAATTCTCTAAACCGGTAGTTGCAATAAAAATTATTAATAAAGAGCGTAACGAATAAACATGCAAATTAGTAACAGTAATGAAATAAAGAGGTATAGACAAACATATACGATGGGGTCATGTGTGGATATCTCTCCAGCCATTGCTGTCTCCTGTAATGTACATGCATATTTTACATTCACATACATCCATAGTTATGACGAATAGCTAGTTAAACAAGTTCATATCAATCACCAGCGTTTATTTTAGAATTACAACAGATTAGAGAAAAAAGACACTGATAAACGACATATATTCAGTTTAATTGACGAAAAAAGAAGTAATTGTAAACACCAGCAACGTACGATTAGTGTAATACCTTGTGTTGGATATGTTTTGTACATACACAGACTTTACAAGTATATCATATAATATATTTATACTTTCCAACGTGAGGACATGCCCCAAACTTTTTCGATTAATCCACAAGCAAAATAAAGCAAAGCAAAGTAGTTTATAGAGACACCGATCGGCAATAATAGAATGTAATATAGTACCTAGCTCGTTCACTGAGCAACGATATATGACAATTCCATCCACTTTCGAGGCCCATTTTCTCCGAAAACACGCGGGATCTCAGCTCGTTCTCTTTACTGAAATGCACGAAACGGATACAGGCTCTGTCGAGTTGCTCGATCAATTGCACCTGTTAAACATTTTATATCATTTTTCTCAGAAACTCTTTTATAATCCTAGTCGATACACTGATCGTAATCGTATAGCTTACCATATCCGTTTGCGCTTGGTATTGCATCGTCACCATTCCGATAAAGACTTGGTTACATTGAATATCGAAACAACTTTCAACGTCGCTCACATTGTCGTCTTTGTTTTCACTGCACAATAAGGAATCTGCAAAAATTCACATAAGTTAATAAAATTGTATGCATAGCTTACGAATGGGTAACATAAACGTTTCTAATGCTTGCCAGTCGAATGAAATTGTCCAAGTATCCCTTTTACCCTGGGATCGAGAACATTTCTAAAGTCCCAAGGTAACGGCGTAGGACTTCTGTGAGGCGTGTATAAATGTTTGCTATCTGCAGGAAGCTCCAAGTATATTTTAGACATTTTTTTGTTTATACCACGCGTCAACGGTCTGTATGCAAACGCAGTGCAATACGACGTTAAACTCGTCCTTTGATAAAAGTCTTGTACTTTTTTCCTAAAATATACACGCAATGGTCACGAAGTGTAGGGGTTCGACCGTATCAATAATAATTACTATTCTCATGTACCTGTCGGACGCAGAAAGCGGACAGAGATCGTGACCGTCCCAATATTCGATACAAGAATCCAAAATTATATCCGCTGTACCTTGTGTCAACAATTGCAAACCACCCCCAGTTCGTTCTTTGACTACCACGGCAACCATATGGGGGAAAGGAAATTTCAGTTTCGTTGCGATACTCAAAGACCGTGCGAACTTAATATCTCGTCGAACCATCTCTGGTTGCTGCAACAAAGTGCCCGAAATTTCAATCGTGTCACTTACGATGAACTAACCCTTTGCACTCGAAGTTATTTTTTCTGCTATCTACCAGCAACTCGAGATGCTCTATTGTCGCGAATGCTATGCTTAGACTTCGTAGATGAGATCTCTAATTTGAGATTTGAAAAATCACCCTTCGACGATCATTTTATTGACTCCCCGAGTTCCAATGAAACTAAACTTAAACATACGTTGTTGCTGGTGGTCACTGTGAGTCGCCTCTCGAGTGCAAAGGGTTAAAGAAAATAGCTCGAGTAACAGATTATGCTTACTACGTGTCTGAACGTAGATAGTTGTTGCTCTAACTGGAATATGTGTTGCGCCTGGTCTTGGAAACCTATCTGCTTCGCTAACTCGCATAGACACCTATATCGAGCACACGTGGGACGTTACTGGGCTGGTAATTATTACAATAAACGAAAGAATAGAACAGAAGTGTGAAATCGTTCCATGATCAGCATTCACATGATTTATATACACTATGATTGGAGATGCATTCACTCATACAAACAGATTAACTATAGATACGGAGGATACATAAAGTAACTATGGTTGGACTGACCACATCTGTCCAAGGCTCCCCGATTCGTCGACTAAATACACCTGTCTTGAACTTTGCATTGTATCTTTTGCCTCATACCCACTCTTATCTTCTACACTGTGATCCTGGTAGCTGACAAATGTGTATGATGAACGTTACTGGTAACTGGAAGTGTTACCTTTGGACTGTCTTAGGAATATGAGTATGATAAACGGGACGAATTAACTTGACAATCGGAAGAATTAGTTTGAATAATGTACACAAAACAGGGGGCGGGGGGGGGGGGGGGCGGGGCGGGGGGAAATGCCAAATGCAACAAAGCATATAAATGAAATACAATGGCTCGGTCAGCGAAAGTACGTACCGTCTATTCGTAACTGGTACAAGATTCTCATTGTACAGAGCCTCACAAGTGACATGGCAACAGAACTGCATGTAATGTTCTTGGGTGTCCATGTTACATGTGTTGAGTAGAATTGCTAGACCTAGCGGTTTCAATGAATTCAAGTGTTGCCTCCAAGAGTGATCATCAAATTGTAGACGAAATGGTAAGGCGTGATCATGAGTAAGGTCCAAAACTTCGGCTGTCGAATGAGACATATCTAAAAGGATTTTTTCATGTTTCATATAATTACGTTATCGATCGAAACATCGCGAGTGAGAATTTTCTTCGCTCTTTATTACCATGTTGTACATAGGACGTTTTATTCGAATACTCTTTGGAATCTTCAGTTTTGTTATGGCACTGAGGTTCGGAACTTCTGTCTAAACTACCAGTACTGTGAAATAATAATATTTTAATAGAGATCCTTAATATTTACAGTCGTTAAATAAGATACTTACCTTGAAGATGGGGACAAAGTATTGGCATTGCGTAAAAAAAATACTTTCTCCGCGGTTGGATTAGGCCACGAAAGAATTCCTTTTTTATCCACGCAACATAACGCCTAAAAATGTAATCATTGCTTTCATCCTATCACAATATTTTATAATTGACTTATCCAATGTTTGATGTACCGTAACTGATCCTAAAACGTGAAGAATACTTGCTGACCTCGACATCATATGCTCTTTACCAAAGAGAATATTGAAAAAATATTCTCTCAATTCCAACCAATTATACACTACTTCTGGATAACTAGGACCCGAGATATCCGTATCCTCGAAAGGATCCACAAACTGAAACACATATTTCATATAAAAAAGAAATCATACTATTACGTAAATTTGTTTATTTTCTAATTTACGTATATATATATATTGACCTGAAGTTTCTTTGAAGACTGATAAAGTTTGAACAAAGCTTTAAATCGTGCCATTCCGAAACAGTTCAAAAAAATCCAACAAATCGGAAATACTAACGGAAGTAAAGGAATACTAATAGCAATGGGTTGCAGCAAGAACATTTCGTTCCAGTACCCAACACCGAAGTATTCTGACAAATACAAGTATCGGAACAAATTTACGATTAATACGATAATTAAAAGAACTGGGTAGGCTAGTTGTTCGATGCAACAAATCATTAAAAGATGCCGTTTGCGGTTGTGATACGTGACCGGTCTATCAAGAGCTTGATCGAGAGCCATTCTTAGATTCGTTAAATATGGCGTTTCTTGAAGTCTATAAATTTTATTTTTCAATGGTGCTCGTGCTTGCGGCGTTGAGAAAATTTCATTGGCACTATGAATTTGTGGACTATAAACTTCCCTTGCATGTAATGCTGGTGCATCTGGATCCTGAAATTATTTTATGTTATTATCATTCATTATACATAATAAAACTTAGTTATGCATTAACGTAACGAATTTACATCGTAAGGAACGCAGTATCCAGGCGCTTGTTGTCCTGGTTTAATTACAATTATATCTCCAGCAACTAATAACGCCCATGGTAAATTCACAATATGACTATCGCGGTATGTCCACTGTAGAGTTAAACAAGGAGACAGCGGACTGCATAAATGTGGATAATTTTCAGGATTCCATTGGGAAGTAGTTTTTGCAACTAAAATGGTTTAATACAATTAAATAAACAAAAAAATGTGTAATTATCGTGACGTTCTATATGAATATTTAAATACCTTCTAGTTGGTCAACAAGAATTCGTACTCTGTGAGGGATTTCTTCGTGTCGTAATTTATTATCTGATACAACTAAAGCAAAATTTAAGACTACTAAACAACAGACACTCAGCCCTTCATAAGGCAGTGTATGATACCTATAATGCAAGCATATTTTTGTAATTATTATAAGTATTTTTGTCTTTCTACATTTTTATTACTGTGTATGACTGTAATCTATTATTATGCACGTAATTAATATATTTAAGTCATACCGTGTATCGTCCATTGTGAAGGATGCAACAATAAGAATAATGGCATTAATCAAAAGTGCAATTGCTGAAGTCCAGCAAAGTGTTGTGTATTGACTACGATGATGTAAAGTATCTTTTAGCCAAACTTTATATTTTCTGTGCACAATATATAAATGGTATAGAATATAAATGATGAATTTCTCTTCTTCGATGTAAGATGAGAAGTAAATAAAAAATTACTTGTGTTTTCTGTAGTCTTCTTCATATTCTTGTAAAACTCTTTTAATATCACGCTGTAATGTTTCGAGAGCAATTTTTGTAGTTAGTCCTAATGGTTCTGCAGATTTATTATTTGTCTTTTCCTTGGTTTTAGAAGTGTTGTCCTTTGCCTGATCACTGTCCATTTTCTATGTAACGAAACCATTAAAATTCTTATGCCTTAGTATACACCATACAAATTCAAATCTTTGCATATACATTATATACGTAAATGACAGCACATGTATAAAACACATGTACATACACAAAATTTAATCTCTTCTGTAGCCTTGCTTAATTATGTATCTATATAATAAGTATTCGCAATGGAGCAGGTATAATTATTAATACACATTTAATAATTTTATTAAAGAAGTACAATAGATAAGAAAATAATAACAAATTTGTCATCTAGCAATTTATAATTGAAGGAGTAAAGCATGCAAAGTAAACAAAAACATTGGTTATGGGTAAAAGAAAAGATTGATGGAAATGTACTATTCCTCCCTTGAATTTTAATATCTAGGGCATGCTTTTTCATTCATGCATTGATACTTTAATACGCAAGCAACACCAAATTGTGATATATGTATGTGTTATGATACATATCATTAAGAAAATGAGTAACCAAGGATAGAACTATAGAAATTAACCAATGCTTTGTACTTTTATTATGGTACAAGTAGGTATAGGAAACTGAAATAAATAAGGAGAGAATGATACAGATATGATTTATTAATACAACCATTATTGAGGGTAGAAAGCGGAAACATTTTTCAAAACAAACGGAGCAAGGTTAAAATGCATTACGCACACTTGCATAAGTCACTAAACAGATCGAAGTGTACCGTTTATATCCGTCACGGACGAAGTGCAGTTCGTTTCTTTAAAGTTGGCTTATGTATTGGGTAATTGAAATTACTGAGCAAAGCCTCATAATTGCAAATGACCTAAATCAGAACGAAGAATGCATATTCCGATAGGCTCACATCACAAACACACATTTTATCACATGACGCAGTGCTGACGACTGCTGTGTGCGCGTAGTGTGTTATGATTTTCCCGGTATAATTTTATTACGTGATTCATTATTGTTTCAAGTTTATCTATCACATTCTTGTCCGTAGAAATGCACAACAATAAACAAAAAATATTGCAGTGCGTGCACTCGTGATTATAGTGTTTATTTAATTGTATACACAACATAACCTGACAAAAATGGATTTACTGTACACTGTAAATAGAAAAGTGGCATCGAAACCTTTTATAAATCAAGAAAGGTATGCTCGATTAGTTTATTAGTGAAAGTAAATTTTATTCACATAGCATTGTGATTGTTATGTTGTAATTATTAATAGCTGTCATACTTGCCATTTAGTTTAATGAATATAGATACTTGTATTTTCACACAGCTGAGAAAGATCTATTTATAAATTTTAATTTTATTTATAAAGAAATTTAATATTTTTAACAAATTATCTTATGTTTATATATTTAACATTTTAGCTTATATGAAGGACAATCTTTATGCTCATTGTCTAGTCGAAACATAGCAGCATTTATTACAACTACAGAATTAGACGATAATAATGGAAAAACATGGGGGTCTCATGTTTATGTTTGTGATTTAAATATGCCTTGGCATACTCACAAGTATGAAATATTTTTATATCTTTCATCAGTTGCTCCAAATATTTTGTAAGATTAATTAACACTATTATAAATTAATAGGATATTGTCAAACAACCATACTATCACTGCATTAGAATGGGATTTATCGGGTGACAAACTAGTTATTGCAGATTCTACTGGAAATGTACAACTATGGATGTTTAAAGATCATGTTCTTAATGACTGGATTTTAATAGGTTCTACTTGTTTTGTTGGTGAACACATTTTAGGTGCAGCTTGGTTTCATAATGGGAAAAAGGTATTAGTAGTCAATGTTCAAATGTTATCAATTGGAGGTTTTAATGTTCTTAGTATACAAAAGATTATAATTTTAGACAGGGCTTGTGACTGAGAAAAAGGATAGTATTCATTATAGCGAGAAATTTAGTCATTTACCTTTTGCTCCTTCTGTAAGACAATTTGGTGGTAAAGCAGCAGAAGGAGTGTTAGTAGTATCCACAACAGGCATGGTTGGTGCAGTTATGATCACAAAAGATTTTCAAAATCCAGTTTGTTCATCAACAGAAAGTTTGGGCAGCACAAGACACAGAATAACTGCAGTTGATCTATGCTACGGAAAAAGTATATATATGAAATTCTTTAAAGTAATGTTATAGTAAGAAGATGGGTTAATACAAAATTTTGCAAATTTATAGATGGTCATATTTTGGTAGCTGTAAGCAGTGGAAATATTTGTTTACCAATTAGATGTTACAGAGTATTAGTTCGAAAAAATGATGATAAATGTACTATTACATCGCAAGCTCTTCCAAGCTTTTTTCTACAGGATGGTGCACCCAAAGATAATACATGTAATGTATCGTAATAATTTATTGACAATGCAATTGGTCGTTATATTTTGAAACAATAGATTTATTTTCTTAGATACAAGTGTAACACACTTAAAGTTTGTGGTTCGTGAAGATGCTGATTCTTTGGTTATTGCTGTGAATAGTGAAAGTGGAGGTATTGTAGAAGTATGGGAATTACGAGAAAAGTCACAACCAGTTCATAAGTTATTTCAGCCTAAAACATTAGAACCATTTAAGACTGTAGTGGTACGTGTCAAATGGAATAAATAACTAACTGGTACATGCTTTGTGCACATTTTCTTATTCGTGTATTTATAGGTATGGCAACACCAGTCACAATATCGTTGTCAATCTCCAATAACAGCAATAGCAACCACAAAATTGTCTATAGTTACCACATTGCCTCCCCCGAGTTACGTTGTAGTAGCTTTGGCAGATTCTTCAGTGCATTGTTTAAGTCGTGATTGCCTAAAAGAAATATCTTTTTCATCTTTAAATATGGCTTGGCGACCCGACGAACCGAATAATAAGTATTTTAAGAGTTCCATCTCTATAGCAAGTATAGATATATCATGGCTAGGTTGCGTACTCCTAGCTTGCGACACGCGTGGAAATTTGTATTTGTTCAAATTACTACCTGATGGAGGTAATTGTCTGAAATTTATGTGAAGAGGAAAGAGAAGAGAGGAATATAGAACTTGGAATTTTATTTACAGGACCATCAATGGCATTAACTTATGCTTGTACGCTACTAGAGTACTGTTTAGTTACAGGATTAGACTGGTTGGATATACTTTTATGTTTAAGATCGTCAATGCTCGAACCATTATGCGAAAGACTAGATGTTTCATTCAACAGGCAATTGCAACCCATACAGCAGTACCATTATATTCAGTTTCTATGCATTAAAACATCATTATACAGGTTTCAAACCATTTTTCAAATGAAAAAATGAAAAATTATTGTATATTAGATACAATGTTTTACATTTATTTAGCGCGGTACGAACATTAAAAATTTATTTTCAGAATGTTAGTATCAGGACAGACTAAGGCAGCAGACTTGTCATCGTTACTTATGATTCATTCGGTAGCAACAGCTTTCAAATCATTATTACGACCGTCAGATCTAATTTCTCACGATAAGGGACCAGCCGAAAGTTTAGCAACCGTGATTAATGATGCAATTACTGATGTAGATAAGGTACAAACCAGGCTTGCCTTTTTCTGTAACATTTTCATCAACACAGTTTTAAGTACGATTGGTAATTGGTATGTAATTGATAGGTACTTTTACACCTTGATCCCAAAGAATTTACCGTAGAGCCAAGTACACTTCAGTCATTGCAACAATTAATTCAGTGGGTAGCAGATCTAGCTTTGAATCTCTTAGCTCGTCTTCCAGAACAGCGGCTACAAATGAAATCCGGTGGCGTTAGTATTATTAATAATTTCAAGTAATCCGTCTGAGTCTACGATAACATCATGTGCTACATTTATTTTTCTCTCTTGTATACATCACGCAGTACGAACTCCTAAAGGATCATAAGGCCTTAAATACGTTGAGAGAATTGCTCGTAATTATACGTATATGGGGTTTACTACGTCCATCCTGTCTACCAGTATTCCTTCGTAGCGCCGATAATCTCGATGCATTGGCTCTACTGTTCCGTTTGTTATCAAAATTGGTTCAACCAAACGGAGATACTCAATCACAGCAGATAGATGATGGACTAATCGGTGAGTTCCTTTGTGCGAGCTGTTTAGAAATAATATTAACGTACTTATAGCTACAATAAATCATGATACGAGTAATTATACACGTTTGGCACTCGTAAGTAGTCATTGGGGTTTTATCGTAATACGTCAGTTAGTAGGAAGTTAGATAAAACACCACTTCCTCATGTGTTAACTGGGAATTACAGATTTTTTCCCATTCAGTACTATTAAATATGTGTCGCAGGGCTCCTATGAAACGTTGAACAATTTTCCTCGTGAAATGAAGTGCAACGGAAAAGTATCGTGAAAAGTACTTTTTCTTTTTTGTATTTTTAATATTACTAATCCGGAGTTTAAAATGAGTGAAAGTAATAGTGTGAAACGTGACTCGTTAGTTTTAAAGGAAGATAAACCATTAAAGGAAGAAAAGAAATTGAGAAATTGTTGCCGATGTTCAATACCGTATAAACTTGCGGCATTCTGTATAATAACATGTTTAATTTTTGTAATGTATTGGCTTATAATAACTCCCCTTTTAATCAGTGCGTTTCGCAATTATAATGCGAACAAAACAGATAGGTGGTCTATCGCAAGGCTCGTCCTTTACTGGGCCACCGCGTTTATAATTTGGCTTCTTATCATGCTGTGCTTGACTTTGATTTGGAAACGCATCGAGTCGAAACAAAATAGAAAAATCAAATTACAATCATACGGAACGAATACATCGGCATCCTTGATCAGTGTGAAATACGACAGTCCACAGATCGTAAAATTCGCAAACGTAAAAAAAGATGATTCGTCCAATGATCTAATTTCTGCTAAAAATCAAACTGAAAGTGTATACGATGAAATAGATACAAATATTTCGGACGAATCTCGAAATATTAAAAGAAAAAATCCCAAAGATCTTCCGCCTCTCGTAATACACCGTCGTAATTCAGGCAATGATATTGAAAGTCCTGGTACTGTGAATCAGAAAGAAAATATTGATAAGAGTGACGAAGATGAATTAAAATCGGGAAACGAAATTATTAAAAGGCATAGAGAGTCAATGAGAGATTACTTGAAATTGGTAACGGTCACTCCAGATGATTCAGTGGATGGTAAATCTCCTAAAGGACCGTTGTCCCCAAGAGAATTATTTTTTATCGATCTTATAAAGGAAGCAGAAAAGGCTGAACGTGTTAAAGCGAACGACAGTTCGGAAATAACGCCAGAAAAGCATCTTTTCCCGCGCGATGTCTTTCCGTCTCAGAAAGACGTTGACAGTAATATAAAAAGTGATAAGAAAAAATCAGTCGATAGTCCATCTAGTACAGGGCCATCAACTTATTTTATTGCAAATGTAGAGAGCCCAAAGAGCGAGAAAACAGAAGTATATTTAGAAATCAATTCAGATCCAGAATTAGTTAAGCACCAGCCTGTGATTTTAAATATCGACAAGGCGAAATTTGTATCGCAAGAAAATGCTAAGGATAGTGAAAAGAAAAATACCGAAGAAGAAGAAGTTTTTGTATTTGAAATATAATTAAAAACATTCTGTAGTTCGATAAAATTTTAAAACTTATATTTTTACTATGATTTATTCATTTTTTTTGTAATACTACTATCAGTATTGTACTATACTATATACCATTACAATATTACAAACAGTACATTAAATTCCACCTAAATCAATTGAATTAACAATGTAAAAAACATAGACCGAAAGGGTCGGTGTGTCGTAAAACATGACCATATAAATAAAATTTAATATTTATTGCGTCAATAAAGCACATCTATTGTCGTTTAATCCTTACAAGTTTTTAAGGATGAGAACAAAATAATAAATTTAACTGGCCACATTCTACGTCGATCACTTTTTTCCAGATGATTGTTGCCTATTACCAAACCAAATCATGATACCTCAATTACATCAGGGCAATAGCATAACAGCTATAGCTACACCTGTGCTTTTTTATCAAAATTTTCCTCTGCAGGTAAAGATGCATAATTGTTTATTCTCAATGACTTGTGGAACTCGGTTTTAAGGATATCATAATTTAATCTGTAATGTAATTGCAGATGGAATATGGTGTTGAATCGGAACAATTATTATTTATACCTGAACTTAATTCAGTTGAAGGTTGTATGCATAGTGGGCAAATTGTAGATGGTATTCGACACTTATACCTCGGGAAGCAACCCCTTTTGGTTAAGCAATGTACAAGGTATGGAATGCAATAATTTTATATATTATACATTTTATTTTTCAGCTTTCTTGTTTAGGTGACATTATAATGCGTATGACATGACATGAATGAAATTATTGTAAGCGACGATTTCAGGTGTGGAGGAAAAGCTCAAGTTCAAAATATGACTCGAACGGCGGCAATTAGGGCATGGGATCAAAGATGGGCGAGAGCTTGTCGTTGTGGCGGTATTTGGCGAATTCATAAGTCTTGTCCATAAATGCGTAATGAACTGGAAGTAATGTACTGGTGAAATTTATTATGCAATGCTTATACTTGTGATTTTGTACATCATGCAGCAAATGACATTAAACGTTTTTATTTAAAACATCGTTCGACTGTTTTATTTATATTAAGGTAGAGGCGTCAATAATTGACACATTAAGGGGTAGCAACATATTAGTGGACAGTGAGATTTGATTTATTATTCGGATGTAAGATAGTTGAGAAATTAATTCTTCGATCTCTTAAAAGATGAGAATGGTGCGAAACGAATAGAAAATCGAAATATTTATTAGATGTAGTTGATACGTCAACGAATTTAATACAGAAAACTTGATTGTACGCCAATGAATGTTGTCGACTTTTTCTAGGAAAAATACGCCTGCGTCTCAGGTTACCGTTATCTCCTGTAATAGCGTACGCACCACGCACCCTCGGTAGTTGTGTAACCCACAAGGTCAGTCTCTCATTCATTTCAATCAATGAATTCGGAAACTTTAAATTGCCGTAGATCGACGTGGAATCGTCCAATTCATTTCAAACAAAATTCAAATTACAAATTTTATTGACGCAATGTCAATTAACATTAACTACTAGTGTTCCTACCTTAATTATGTTGTTGTCAATTGTCAAGGAAATTAAGTATCTCACTAAGCCATACAAATCTTATTTAATTTGTTTATTCATTTACGACGAGTACAGTATTTAGATTTTTCAATATTTCATAAAATTAAATTTTTTACTAAACAAATATGCGTGTAAAAATTACTCAAGTTTTTCAATAGACAATTATTACATATAAAATAAATATTTTCGAGAACATTAGGATCTTTAACAATAATGGATAGTTTACCATTCACCGTCAACGAATGTTGTGCAAGAGATATAAGCAATTTTCTCTGTAATTTGGCACACATTGTATAAGAAGTCTGACATTGTTTTTATAAAACAGGAACACAAAATATTGTGTCTGCGATATTGCAATTTATATTTATTGTTTATATCACAGTTATATCGTATGCACTGACTTACGAAAGAAATTTTTTACGTCTCCGTACGGTCTCCGCCGATAGCAAATTTCCGTTAAATTTCTTAACGTTCCAGATACTTCCGGCCTACGCCGAAATTTAAATAAATTTATGTAAATGCTTTAATTTTATTATGTAATTGCATTATTATCACAGATCCTAAGTTTACAACGCAATGTTTATATATTACAGAAACAACATGCTCAAAACATTGTTTATTTTATTAGTATTCTTGAAAATTATGATGGCTACGAAAAAATTTATTTGAAATAACATTCTTTTACAATTCTTTATGTGTAAAAACAAAATTGGTTGTTAATGGCTTTCCCCTTTTTTACCAGTCACTCTCCTGAACTCTCCCATGTTTGTGGTCGAGATGGGTGAACCAATTATGGACAAATGGTCGATCCTTGTTGTTTCACTACCACTCTGATTGTCTTTTACAAAAATCTGTAGATTCTGCACATTTTGAAACTTAACATAGCGCAAGGGAACTGGATTGCCTTCTTCAATATCCTTTACTGAAAATCTGCATGTAAAAATATTAAGTAATTACAAGGGTAAACTCTTACAATGAGACAACCAATAAATATGCAGTATTGTAGACATAAAATCTTACTCAAGATCTTGAATGCTTGTATTGGAATCAGCCATGTCAAAATCAATTGTTCTAGGCTGGTTGATATATAATTTGATAGTTTTTGGTCCCTTATCAATGGGAGCTTTAATCTTCAATGAATGAATTTTGACTGCTTGTTGAAATGCAATGGATAATATTAATTGCTCATCACAATCACTTTCAAGATATCCATCATCAGCAGTCAAACATTGTAAGAAGTTATGTTCATCAGATTCGTTTAAACATTCACATTGTGACTTGGTAATTAAAGTATTTAAGTCCATCTGTAAAAGGTACATTTTAAAGTTTTTAGATCACTTCTAAAAAGCACTTATTATATAGATCTCCATCCAAAGTTGGGTAAAAACATCCAGGGGAAAATGTATATAAATATGAGTTTTTATTTAAAATAAAAGCATACAAATGCAATGCATCTTTTACACTTTAGCATATATTATTAATAACATGTTGAAACTCATATTTGTAAGATGTGGCATTTGTCAGTCTGTCAAATCACAAACACATGCAATCAGCAAAGAAATGTTACTTATATAGAGTGTTTTCATTGAATATTTTTTTGGTTTTGACAAATGTGTTGTAATGACATGAATATCCACTGAAAGAAAGTTACCACAACTTTCTTATTGGTACTTATTCCAGTAGTACAGAACGGCAGCAAGAAATATCAATCCAAAGATATGATAATAAGCATTGTCACTACTTCGTACATGTCCAGACACTGGACTCTCAGAGTCTTCTTTACTTCCACTCCCATAAAACTGTTGAATTTTCGATTCTAATCCAACTGGATCTGCTCCTTGACACATGCCCAATTTTGATTGGTTACGAAAAAATATGAATGTAGGCATCGCAGTAACACCGTATGTAGCAGCAGTTCCTGCACACTTGTCTACATCAACCTTAAGAAATACTGCATTTGGGTATTTAGCTGCTAATTGTTCAAAAATTGGTGCAATTCTCTGGCAAGGGCCGCACCTATAAATTATAACAATAACAACTGTATTGAAACACATTTGCTAAGCAAGTGTTAATTTGTTTACTTCACATTCTGATTGAAAATTGCATAAAAAGTATCAGTACACAGAAGAAAACTTTCATACGATACACTTACATTAATTTTTCAACAAACTAATTCTAGTTTTGATTCAGCAAAATATTTACGTTTAATAAACCGAGTTTTATAATAAAACACGATGAAATTTAACGTAGTACTCGAAGTAAGAAAATAAACAGTGGCATTAAATTCGAAGAAAGGATGATTATATTTCATCTATATTTCTGTGATCGATATGAAACGATAAGAAGAAGATCGTGACATTTTTATTTGGAAATTAGCGTGTTAAAAAAACGCAGATGTCGAAGTTTCGAAATTCTAACAACTATCATAACCCCCCAAAAAACTTACCATGTTGCTGTGAAATCAACGACGACCAATTTTGTACCCACAACAGCCATTTCTCCGACGAACTGGCTATCATTGTTAACTACATAAACTTCACCCATTGTTTACTGAATTAATTTAATACAACATTAATGAGAACAAATGTATCGAACCTCTTGAAATCCTGAATGACTGGCACTTTGAACGCGCAGTCCAAGTTTAAGTTAGACTATCTAACCGGGTATGTATGCGCTTATTCGAATACGTTAAACTGAATGGTTCATTCACATGAAAACTGTCCAGACCTCCGATTGGTTGCTGGAGATCCAGGAGTTTCCATGTAAATCGATTGGACAAAACGACAATGTGCTTATGGCTTCCATACATGGAAATTGTATTTAATCATTTAAATCACATAACCGTACACATCGCGAGTGGTTTACATCACCGACGCAAATATTGACTGCGATATTACACTTTTAACACGTTCACACTCATTTTCATAAAGTTTTTATCTTGAGCGCCGTATCTGTTCGCGTTCAATGTTATTTTTTTAACTATTACATCGACGAAGTTCACAAAATCTCTCACATATCTTTTAAATTTACGTTTGCACCATTAAATCATGAAAAACTATATATTTAATGTTTAGGATTGTTTCATTTCCACGGGAAATCTTTCTAAATCACACTACACTGTTTTCTATGTTTCCTTACGTCTACAATTAAATTCGAATTGGACGAAACGCTGGTTTGACAGCTGAATTATATGTTGAAAAACAAATGTTCAAAATGGTTACAAAATAAATGAATAATGGTCAATTCGAAAAGAATAATCATGCACTGGTCAGGGTAAATTTGAAAAATTATTTTTTAAGTATTGGTTACAAAGAATTATTGAAGTCTACAATATTCTGGTTAGTTTAAACAATATTTAATAATAAATACTTGTTCTTATATTTTCATAATCATTTCGTATTTGTGACAAAACTAATTTCCAAAGTATTCAAACATGGAATGTTAATATTCTCACAGTTTCTTCCATTCTCACCTTCTATTTTCGAGATCGATTTTTTCATTTTTCGATGCGATTCAACAGCAAAATATGTTTATTTTAGATCCGAATTTTGTTCCTAAATAAATTTTGCATCTGGGACAATAGTGGGTTACATTTTTGAACTTCTTGGTACAATACGGTACTATGCACATGCTTTAATTTATTGTAATATCATTTTCATTGAAGTATTATGGATAGGTAAGGCTACAAATTTTTGCTCAACTTTATATCGTGTAGATGATTAAATTTATAGTGTATACGAACCAAATGGGAGACAAAGTTGCAGCAGCCAAGTGTGTTGCACGAGTATTATAGGAATAAACGTCGGTTATTATGTAACTTAAACAATTGGGACAAGTCATTTTATATGGATATTTATCGAGGTCTGTGTGTTCTGCCAATTAAATATTTTGTTACATTGTATTCGATGATATCTTTAAAATTTTTAGCAATGATCAGAATTGTAATTCGTTCGTTTTTACAAATAGAGATACTAATAATTAAATTTTTTTGTCAACTTTACACACCTCGCGTTGAACGAGGATGTTTCCGTGAAGTACTACTTAATTGCTTTTTACAAGTCTTCATAACTTTCTTTGCCTTCAATTTAAAAGCACTATGACGTTTTGAGTTTCTAAAGTCAAATACGTAATGCTCCTGAACGGTTCGATTTAATTCTTCTGTACTGGGATAAATATCTTGAAAGAGAAAGTTTTATTAAACATAAATCGATAAGTAGTATCCATTTTCAATTGTCAATCGGATGATTTAATTATTTATTTGCGCTGAGTAAAAATGTCTATTGAAACGTACGTAAAATATTTTTGCCTGTGAATTTTGTATATTCCTCACCCATAACGAAGAATTTTTTAATAATCGAATAACTTTATTTTTGAAGATATTTTAGTCCCCTTCGGAATGACTCGTTCACCAATCATTCCATATACAAGTTGGTAATTCAAATTGTCACATCCGTTTTGATGTATCTTTTTTAATTAACCACTTTTTAAATGTACTTTTGTCTGTTAACCTTTACAGTCATTTTAATAAATTTAATTTAGAATATAGATTACAAAATTTTACATTTATTTTTGTATAACTTTAAATGAATCAGAATAGAACTCAAGATATAATGATGAAAGTAACCTATAAGAATAAGAATATTTTCATTTGCGTCGTATAATCAATGTGAATACTTCGTATCGATTATGACCACGTCGTTTGTTCGATTGAATAATATTTAAGGGTGTCCCATTTAAATCAGTCCGAAGCGTCTAGAAATATAATATAAATAAATATAATTTATATAATTTATTTTACAGTTATTTTAACCCCTGATTCGCTATTCATATCGCGTATTAAACTTCGTTTATTTATGTATTTAAGTATTATTATTAGAATTATGTCATTTGGATTTAGATGTTGGATTTGGAAACGTTTTAAATCGAAGTTAAATGATTTCGAGAGGGGCATAATTTAATCACACTTTTTAGCTCTCGTTAGAGTAAATGTTGCTCGTTAAACTACATGAATCCGCCATTTTGAATTTCGCAATTCTAAGTTCAGATTTAGAATCAGCGACCTCAAAAACCCCCGTATACCAAGTTTCATCTAAATTCAGTCATTTTTTGCATTTTGTGTCGTTATGTTGTATCCGCCATTTTGAATTTTTAAATTCTAAGTTCAGATTTAGAATCAGCGACCTCAAAAACCCTTGTATACCAAGTTTCATAAAAATCGTTCGAAAGGAATTCATTAAATATTCAAGAGAAGCTATGTAGAGGTGATTGTTGTCAACTTCTTCCAGGAAATACTACTGTGTTTACGATTTTTACTACTTTACTACGTCTTACGTACGCATCTCCTTAAATGGACGTAGGTCTACTGGGTCAATCATTCGTTCATAAGCACCTATGAAATAGGAAAATTTGAAGTGTCGTAACTCGGCTTGGAATCGTCCGATTCGACTCTAACAAAATTCAAATTGTAGAGCGGACTTTCTACTATCTAATCGATAGGTATTATCATTGTTAGACATTCTTAAACAATTATTTTATTTTAATTATCAGTTTGTTGACAGAATGTAAGAATAATTAATTTTGAACGTGAGAGCACTAAAGCACTCCGATTCATACTCAGTTGTTAAAGTATTACTATCTGTACTTGATCAATCTTGAACTGTGAATTAAATTATTAATTATTAACTATCTGTCACATGAAAGTGAGATGGGGCGAAAAAGTCGCATGGTCCGTTGAGCAAAGCGAGGATTACGATATGGTGGAAACGATGAGGTGGTAATATTCTGGTAGTCCGATTGTCGAACTGTGGGGTAATGTGACTTACAAAAGGAGCTGGGCATTTGCCCTCGCAGTAATAATCAATGCTTGACTCACCTTGCGGGTTAATTTTACTAATATCTATAGCGAGTATGTCTGTGAAAATCAGTTACTTTGAGAATTTTCGTTGTCAATGCGTGACGGTAAATTTAGAGCAATTTTCCTGCTTACCTTTCGAAATGGAAAATTGCATTACCGTTAACTGGTAACTTTAGACTCCGGCATCTAAATCCATGCTCTAAATTAATCCGAGAATACCCCACATTCTTGAAATCTAATCACACGGTCTAATGAGATGGCGTATCAGAGTTTAACGTCAGGGTTTAACTTAACCTCTTGCTGAAGTTCTCTATACTCATATATAATTTTTCAGTAGTTCGAACAGGCATTGCTCAGTACGATTGGTGAAAGTGTATGCGTGAAAATCATAGATATTCTCAACAATTGCAAAAATATTCAAAACAATACATATGTGATATGTTTTTATAATACAAAACAGCTAATAAATTGTCAATTTGCCATATAAAAAATTTGCTTTATTTAATTGCTTCACGTAAGAGTTTAAGTATATTACTGTGAGATAAATACATCATTACTTTAGTACATTGTATATGTTATCCTACAATACTGAAACGAAGTATGATAATGGAACATAAACTATAATTTATTATCAGTGAACGTGATTACTATTTGATAGCAGCATTTAAAAGGAAAATATTTCATGTTTGTGAATTAGATATCGCAAACGTGGTGTCCATTTTTCGATAATGGAACGCGAAACTTATAATTAATGATAAACTAGCACGAACAGTAAAATGTACACACATTTTAGTAGGCAAATTAGTTTATGTATTAAATTTGCATTATCTTCATTCGATATTAAACAAAGGAAGTGCTGATAATGCAATAACGTATTAAACTAACCTTTGTTATACGCCAACTATTTTTAGGTAATTGAATAGCCATTCGATCCTGCAAACACATGCATAATTCTCTTGTTTGGGTAATTCTATTTAATCCACTGTGATTTAGACAAAAAATGTTGCATTTTTTACGAAATACCAGTATTTAACCGATTTGTACGAACAGAGAAATTGTAACGACATCATTATTGAAAGACGCGGTCTTTTATTATTCAACATATTGTTACGATCACCAGATATATCAAATCATGGCCAGCTACATAACATTGAACCTTTTCGAAACTTTGAAGAATACAACTGATATAAAATACAGTTTCTGGTATGTTTAAGTTGTTCCAAGTTATTATTGTTGTTGTTGTTAACAAAGGAGTATTAGTTATGGCCCAATGGTATAATAAACGCCAGCAAACAGATCTTCCATTAAGGGGGTATTCTAGCGAGAACTTAAAAAAAATCCATTTTTTCTTACTTCTTCTGTTTTAAACAAGAATTACGAGCTATATCTTTCCCACCGACGGGCGAAAGATTTCAATGACGAGCCGCTCTACGAATATGCACATACATCGTCTGTATTTTATTGTCTTATGTTGACAAAAATGTTTTCGTTAAGTTAAGACACACATGAAAGTATCCCAAAAAACTTAACTGGGCTCAATTACTTTTCTCCATCCTAAACAATTTCTCGGAAAAAAGCTTTGTTTAGGCCTGCTTTTTAAGCAGGATCTTCTTTAAATCAATTGTTTTCGACACAAAAAAAAATTGTTGAACATAGCTATGATTTTTACGCGTCCAAGGTGGCTTCGTTAGGGATCCTTCGCTATTAACATCTAATGTTTCAACAGACCCAACAAGCATTGTTTAGAACGATTAAAGGTGTTGCATAAATAAATCATGGAGCGTAAAATAGTAGAAGAAACATCG